GAATAATTCAAGCGCAATTTTGAGTTAATTTCACCTTCCTGTGTTTTAATTTCAGAATGTCAATATTTTCCTTGCCCTTGATTGGTTTCGTCTTTTATTAATTCTACTCATATCTTTTATTGTACATATTTCACCTTTTATTGACTCCATTCAATTTTAATAATTTTCTTAACATTTTTTACACGGCCCCACAAGCTATATTAGCTTTAAAACCCAACGTGTTTAAATAAAAGATATTGTTGTTATTGTTGTTGTTCTGAACACGATCAATTGTGTGCTTGCATATTTAGCCCGTCTAACATAACTAAGGGGATGTGCCACTGGATGAAGTCGCATTTTCACAACTGGATTGATTATAATGGCTGCCTCGTACCCAGGACGTCTCTCTCTCGATGAAAATGTGCGCGGAAAGGAAGACGGGTAGGGGACGACGGGCGAGACGCCTTCCGTCTGTACCCTTCCCATGGTCCCTTGCGGTTCATCACCAGTCGCTCGCCTCTACCTTGCGAAAAACCAAGGGCCTGAGGAGGAGGCTGTTATAATGGGGTTGCAGTTTCAATAGAGCTATTAAGTAACGCTCGGTTAAAGTGATTTCTTGAAAACCAACGAATTTATAGCTCCGCAAACTCGCGGACGTGGTACAGTCTCAAAGTGCTTTTTTTCACCGTTAAGCCCTCTGACGAATACGGCTCAAAATCAGGTGCCTTTGGTAAACGTCACACACTGACACAACTCAGATTAAAATAAACTTAGTAGCCATTAATAACCTCGATGTTTTCCATAAAACCTGCAATCAGCTTCTGTTTACAAGAATATCATGTATGTATGTCCCTGAAAACTACTTTTGAATATTTTTGTTTTGACTTGACGATGTGGGCCTGAGTGATAGAGAAGGCGGGCGTTCTTTGATCTCAGCACAAAAGTGTTTGGCTTTATGGCGGTTGGGCTGTTCGACTCATCAGAGCTCAATTCATACAATTTAGTTAAATTGCAAAAAAACTGGTCATAGATTTCTATCAAATACAATGTTTGTCGATTGTGAGTCCAGCACTTTTGACCGCCTGGCCAGGTTGCCTCTAAGAACAGCACCCAAGAAACTGAAAAAACAGGATTTTCCTCTCGTTGAAATGCTTCGATCTGGTATAAAATTAAGTGACAAATAGCACCGTTTGCTTTTCCCGTTTCCAAAACCCCTAACAACATAAATGATAAGGCAGAACTAATTAAGAAAACGTTAAAAAGTTTTGACAAAGTTCATTAAATCAACAGGGTAGTGGCAACGAATGAGGGAATCAAGCTTATAACTAACCTCTCGCAAAAATTAAATTCTAAATATCATGCCTTAAAAGAGAAAAACCGATTATTTCGTTTATTCACACTTTTTCCCCAGTCACCTTTTATAAGTTTTACTTGACTACAAAAAGACCCTGGGCACGGCTTTCCCCGCTATTCCAATGCCTCACGGGTCTCGTTCTAATCAGAGCGGACTTGTTCGCTTCGGATACGTCACACAAGTGCATGGCAGTGAAGGCCTGGGAAAAATGGGAACGAGGTTTCCCATCTCTTGCACGAAGAGACACCGAAAGACATTGGTCAATTTCTTACATTACTGGAAATGCTTCCAAAGTGTCGAAATTCCAAAAGCACAAATATATATAACTTATGAAACACAAAAAAACTGCAAACTGGCAAACTGCAATTGGTTTCACCACAATTTTACCGTAGCATTTTTTGAAACTCCCGCATTCCGATAAATAGGCGGCGAACACAGCCGTCTCTCCTCGCCGCAAGAGACGTTTCATTAGGGCCATTTATACGAGGGAAAATAAGACGCGTCTGACAGAAGACGCGTCTTAAATATGACGCAAACTATTCTGTATAAACAGCACATTTCTTCGGAAATTTAGCTAAGGTGCGTCTTATGTAAGAACAAAATTTTGTGTTCCCAAAGGGAAACCAAAGATCGTGGAGTCGCGACAATTTAGGAATTTTGATGCTCATTCAGCATTCCATGCTGACCTTAACCTAGCACCTTGGCACCTAGTTCATCTGGAAGATAATCCAAATCGTGCCTGGGAAATTTGGTCCCGTCTGTTTTTAGAAATATGTGACTTCCATGCACCAAAACGTAAAAGGAAAGTAAGAAATAATTATGCTCCCTGGCTAACACCAGAGATAAAAAGGTTGATGTTTGAGAGGGACAAACTGAAAAGGGCTGCAATTATCAACAATTCAGATGCTCATTGGACCGAGTATAAGATTGCTCCAAACAATGTAAATGCTAATATCAGGAAAGCAAAAACTAACTACTATAAAAGGTATTTCGAAACAAATCTAGGGGATATTAAGAAATCATGGAAAGGAATAAATTCAATATTGGGCCGAAATTTACCAACAACTGAAAGAAATAGAATAGATGTTGGAGATAACTCAAGTACTACCCCATTAGAAATCTCTAATGCTCTTAATTATCACTTTACTCACATTGGGCCCAGGTTAGCCGATAATATTCCCAAAACTAGTGTTTGTTTCGAGGACTACATTACGCCATCAGATTCTAGTTTTACCCTGAACGAGACTCACTGCGGTGTTGTTCACCGTTTAGTGAGTTCCCTTCGAGTCGACAAGGCTACGGGCTTAGATGGTATTTCTGCAAGGCTTCTAAAAGAAGCTTGTCCTGAAATCGTGCCTTCTCTCACCCATATAATCAACCTATCCATTAGGTGTGGGTATTTTCCAGACGAGTGGAAAATTTCCAAAGTATTACCTTTATATAAGCAGGATATTAAGTCTGTTCCTAACAACTAAAGACCTATATCTATGCTACCAGTTGTCCGTAAAATAATCGAAAAGGTTATTTTCAAACAACTTTATGAGTACCTAACTCACAATAATTTGCTGACAGTTTCTCAACATGGTTTCAGACCGATGCATTCTACTTTGACTGTCTTACTTGAAGCTACTAACAACTGGTACTTAAATATGATGATGGCCTAATTAACAGTGTACTCGATACGGTTGACCACAGCATATTGTTAAAAAAACTGCACCTTTATGGTCTCGACCCGCATGCAGTTCAGTGGTTCAAATCATACCTATCAAATCGCTTTCAGTGTACTTATGTAAATGGTACTCTATCAGACTATCTTCCTGTTAGTTGTGGGGTCCCACAAGGTTCTGTACTTGGACCCTTGATGTTTCTCATTTATATAAACGACCTACAAGAATGCGAGCTGTCATCATCTGCAATCATGTATGCTGATGACACCTCACATACCCTTTCCGTTTATGACCCAGCAACTCTTGAAGAAAAGTTAAACAAAGACTTGGATGAGGTTCAAAAGTGGCTGAAATCCAGTAAACTCACATTAAATGTCAAAAAGACAAAATATATGACAATAGGAAGCCACTACCGACTATGGCATTTAAATGGTGACTTAAACGTTACTGTTAATACTCAATAATTGACTCGGGTGACTAGTTATAGATATCTGGGAATAGAGGTTGACGAGGCATTAGGGTGGCAATACCATGTAGATACCATCTGTAAAAAGGTATCTGCAGGTATAGGGGCCTTAAAACGTATTCGCTCCCTGGTGCTTTAGTCGCTCCTTATTTTGATTATTGCTTCGAAGTCTGGGGATGTATGGGAAAAGGCCTGTGTGACAGACTCCAGAGATTGCAAAATAGGGCTGGGAGAAGTATAACATTTAGTGATTAAAATACAAGATCTGCGGGTATCCTCCAAGACTTGAGATGGGATACCCTTGAGCAAAGACGCTCTAAACTGCTCGCAATAAGTGTTTTTAAGGGTGCGTTCCATTGGGAAATCTGGATTTAGATTTTAAAATCCGGATTTCGGATTTGCAACCGTACGCGAAATCCGAAAACGGATTTCAACGCTGAAATAATTTGTTTTTGGATTTTCGTTTTTACCGTTCGAATGGGAAATCCGAAAAAGGATTTGAAAAACCGTCCTTAGGAACAGCGGTCTTGCATGCGCACGCATTGGATTTCTTAATTGGATTTGGATTTCTTAATTGAAATCCACCCTGAGGACGGATTTCTCGGAGGTGAAATCCGTTTCCGGATTTCGCGTTCGATTGGGAAATCCGGATTTAGATTTTGAAAATCTAAATCCGGATTTCCCAATCGAACGCACCCTAAATCGCTAGATAACCTTTACCCTGAGAGTTTAAAGAACATGTTTAAACCAACCTCCGAGGTTCATTCCTACAACGTGCGAGGTGCCTCGAACAACATTTTTGTACCAAGGCCCTGTGCTGAAGCTGCTAAGCGGGGTTTTAGCTATAGGGGAGCATTCATGTGGAATGGCCTCGAAAATGTGCTTAAAGACGAGATAAATCTCAACTCTTTCAAGTCTGCCCTGTCTTTGTCTTGAACCAGGGATTGCCTTGAGGGAGTTGAGATAAAATATATTTTAGTTATATAATGTAGCTTTAAGGTTGATCGATTTTTGTGTAATTAATTATAGGATAGATTTTCTTAATATATAGATATATTTTAGCATTAATGTAGTTTCTCTGAAAATTTTTGTTATGTAAACGGCTCACTGGAAGAGCATTTTTAATGAAGTGATACCGTTAATAAAGTTTGATTGTTGTTGTTAACCGTTAATACCTGTTCTTCGATAAGACGCGTCTTAGCTAGGTTACGTTTTAATGTGCCTTTTATACGGGATAATTTGCGTCTTATTTAGGACGCTTCTTATGTAAGACGCGTCTTATTTTCCCTCGTATAAATGGCCCTACTGTCTCTGCCGCGAAACGAACCTAGCGGCCTGGAGCGAGTAGACACGGCTGTATTCACAGGCTAGCATTCCGAATGGCTTAAAAAATCGCTTTCTAGTACCTGATAAATGCTCTTTTGTATGTAATTTGTATGTAATAGAATACTTATAGCCTTTGACTTATTGACAATTGTTACAAAATACACATATTACCCATTTTTGAATGGTTACGTAATGTTATACAGCTCTCTATTAGTCTTTTAACCCTTTAAGCCCCAATATTCACATACAAATTCTCCAAACTGATCTCTATACATTTCCTTCAAGAATAAGTTGAGAGAATTTGATAAAAGATCACGCCATTTTTCCTTAGGTGATCATTTTATTAATTCTCATAACTTAATCTCTTGACATTGTATGGATATCGTTAGGAGAAAATTGACGTTAGACACTATTGGGACTTGAAGGGTTAAATTGAATACCAGCAATCACATGGTAGGATGGGGCAACAATGCGAAAATGGTTTCATCTTTAAAGTCAGGTCAGGAGTTCATCCGGCACAGACTCAAAAGTTAGAACTGCTGTGCCTCACTTTCTATAGGTGACTCTTAGGGGCACAGGGACACAGTCTAGTACTGTGTTTTGCTCTAACCACTTGTAGAAAGTAATTTCGTGATTGCTTCAATTTGTGATTGGCTGAAAAATCTAGTGCCACTTTCCAAACCAATAAGAAGCCAATGACTTGATGAGGCGCATTTTCTCCCGCGCATGGCGGCGGCTGCAAGTATTCACCTTGAAATCTGATTGGTTGATTTTCATTTAGCAGCGTTCTGCGATTGGCAGTTTATATTCGAGTAAGCATTAATCCACCGCGATCAGTAAAGCACTTCAAATCAACCCGTTCATCCACGGTATAGGATCAATTGTTTAGCTTTGCCGCATCCTAGAAAGTTAAGAATTTCTCTCCAGGTTCCGGACTAATATCTTCTAATGTTGTCAAAATAGTTCTTTTAGCTTTGTTCTTGCAGGTATCAAATATCTTAAAGATCTCCTGTCTAAGTTTTTCCCTCTTTACTCGAAGATTCACTATCGAGCGAAACAGTTAAATTTGTGCTGTTGGTTATCAAACTTTCTTTTCTTCACTTTGAGCAGCACCTTTTAGGAGCTCTTCAAGTCGCGTTTTCTCGTTATTTAGATGTTTGATGATGTTATCTATTTTATCCCTCATCCATTCCTTAACCACATAGTCATCGTACACATCAGATAAGACTCTATCTGCCTCTTTCTCTACAGCAGTTAGGATCTCTAAGCCACTGAAATAGAGGGCAAAAGGGAAAGGCTTTAAGATAAGAAATAAAGAAATAATAATAATAATAATAATAACTATTATTATTATTATTATTAAAAAATAATAGAATATTAGGTGATTTTAATTTTATTGTTTATAGATATATTTATTTTATGAAAATGAAGAAATGATCGTCGCAGTGAACGCAATTAATTTTATGCAATTGCGTAAAGAAGCCTGACAAAAATTCAGGACTCCAAAGGGGTTTGAACCCGTGACCTCGCGATTACCGGTGCGATACTCTACCAACTGAGCTATGAAGCCACTGACGTTAGGAGCAGGGCAGTTGTGGGTTCATATGTTCCCGTGAAAGACTGAAATGAGTGTTAATGATATATGAAATCAATCATATATGACCTGCGGAAATGAAATGAAAATGAAGAAATAATCGTTTCATTTCATTTCCGCAGTTCATATATGATTTATCTCATATATCATTAACAGATGTATTTATTTTAGCTAACAAATTTTACAAGTAATGTACAACATATATTGACATTTTAATCAATCAATTAACTTATCATTTCTATTTTTTTAGAAAACACAAAGGCTAATCACGGTTTGCCGCCTATAACCTTCGTGATTTTAAGTTGGATCTCGCATCCAGACGTTTTAAACTGCCCATAATAATGATGATGATAATGATAATAATAAAATGGAACCATCATGAAGAAGTTATAGTGCAAAAGGGAAACAGGAGGCTTTACTCTTTAAGGGTCCTTAAGCAATGTGGTGCACCTCCAGCTTCACTGGCTAAGGTTTATACAACCATTGTTCGTCCTGTTCTAGAATATGCTGCCCCTGTCTGGCAAAATATACCAGATTTTCTATCTTATAAGATTGAGAGCATTCAGAAAAGGGCTATGCGCATCATTTTTCCTTTAATGAATTACAACGAGGCATTAAATGCCCTTAATTTAACAACTCTAAGTGACAGACGCGCCCATCTATGCCAGGTTTATATTGGTAGACTCCGGAATGACAATCAACCCTTGCATTTTATGCTCCCCAAACAGGAGGAGGTTGTGCATAATTATAATCTTAGATCTGGCATTAGCCGCTCCACGCGTCCTACCTGTAGGACCAAGCGCACGCAAGAGTTTGTCACTCATAAGTATACCTAGTGGCTTGTACAATTATATTTTCTAGTATTTATTGGATTTATTGTATTATATTTTAGTATTATATGTTTTGTAAATAGCTGTAATAGCTGTAAATAGCTGTAAATAGCTGTAAATGGCTATTCAGCCATTCTGTATACTGCTGCAATAAGTCTTAATAAACAGTCATTATTTTTTAATAATAATAATAATAATAATAGTAACGATAATAATAATGATAATATATAATAATAGTAATATTCATAACAATAATAATAACAATAATAAAACAATACAACAAATTCCAATTAACTCACTGGATAGTCCTGTTTATCGCACTTGACAGATGATAGTAACTTAAAAACTTGCTTTCAACTTCACGTTCTAATACCCAGCCTTGCTCTCTGAAAGGAACGAATAACAAAAGGAAAGAGCGAATTATGAGTTTACAGTGTATCAGTGTATCTGTATCAGACATGAGCCGTTTGCTTCTGCTACTAGATGATTTTTGGTTGTCTGAATAACTGTAAACTGATGGAAAGAAGGAAAACCCCAGTCTACCCCAGGCGGGTATGAAGTAGCTGTTGAGGTTGGCATTGTAAAAAAAGAGATGAATTAATTATTTCCAAGCCTGCGAAAACAGCCGTTTCTCCTCGCTTCTTGCCGCTGGGGACGTTTCGCGAGGAGGAACGTCAGCGACTCGGCGACAGAAATTCCATGCTTATGACGTAAATCTGTCCGGAATCCAGTCATTAGCACTGACTGGACAACGGAGTAGTTACATTGTTTTATCTATTGGTTACGAATGACAGACAAAAGACAAAAGGCTACAAAGGTCAAATGTAAACGCGATGAATCTCAAACAAAGCAGTCAATATTTGTGGAATATGTTCTTCTCTAGAAGAAGCATTTGAGTTTTGCTGGAGCTCGTTCGAAGTTGAACACAACACTTTACCAAAATCGATCAGGAGAAACGGACAATTGAACAAATTTGCATTTGGAACCCCATGCCTACCGGATTTATTAATGTAAACATTGATTTACGTCATCAGTATCGAACTTCTGTCGCTGAGTCGCAGACGTTCCTCCTGGCGAAACGTTCCCAGCGGCGAGGAGCGAGGAGAAACGGCTGTTTTCGCAGGCCACGGTTTTTTACAAAACAAAAATTTAAAGTCAAATGATGTTTTCACTTTGTATGAACGAGAATTAGCACAGTCAGTTAGTGCGCGGTCTTCTGTGCGGGCGGTCCCGGGTTCGATTCCCAGGTGTGACCTCAAATCCTTGTTTCGACTTCTGTCCTTTCAGTGCAGCTTTAGGAAGCTTTAAAAAATGACCGTCAAACGGAGCACTGATGGAGAAAGGCGGATGAAATGAGCAAAAAGTCGGCCTCAGGATGGTCGATCATGAGTTAACAACAGTTTACCTTTACCTTAATCATCGTCGCAGTTCAAGCTCCTCCACAACTTCAATTGATCACTTTGAAGTTTTGTGGGACCCGCAGACACAAAACGGCTTATTTTCTTTCTTCTATTAAAAACGTACATGCGTCTCTACACATAGTTTACTAGGGCGCGAATTTCAAATTTTAAGTTTTTCTCGTTTACGTTATACCTGGTGCCATTACTGACCCTTTTTACAGCAAAGGCGTATTTCAGAAAGCAGGAATAATGAAATTTCATCGAGCATAAAAACATTTTTTAATTCTTCTTTTTTTGAAATTTTTTTTTTATCTTTATTTACCTCAATTTCAAAATCATTTCGTTATATACAATAATTTAATAGCTTCTTATATCTGCCCTTTGTTACGTCATACAGTAATGGGTATTCCCCGCTGCAGGACTTCCTCTTATGTAGATTTTTAAATCTACATAAGCCAAACCAAGCCCTAAACAGTAAACCACTGCCTCTACTTACATGTTGCTCACACCTTGTGCGTAATACAATGCCTTCTTCAGCTCGCCCACCAGTTTGAAAATTTCCTGACCTGGAAAGCTTCCGTCTGGTGGGTGATACCTAAACAGAAAAAAAAACACGCAGCTTAATAGATGGATGAAACTGTAAACTAACTGACAAAAAATACTTGGAATCAAGTCTGGGGAAATAAAATGCCGATAATTTTATCTCCATGCATAGCTTTTGCTTTGCATAAGTAAGCTTTGTGCTCTGCCTGAGTTCTAGCTCCATACTTTTAGTTCATTCGGCGATTGCTGTTAGTGCATTATAGATCGATTTCACGTGACGTCACGGCGGCCATATTGGTGTATCAAAACAATGAAACGGCCGCCATGTTGGTGTACCAAGCCAGTCTAGTGAGTGTTGAAAAAAAGCAAAAACGTTTTTTTGGGGTGCCCTAAAGAGACCTTATTCACGATACCCGCCATCTTTGCACGAGCTTAAGTATTGATGGGTAACATGTAATGTCACGTGGTATTTCAGGGGCAGGGGGCAAACAACTGATAAGATTTGCTAATAAAAGTAAACGCGGTAGAGTTGGTTTATTCTCTCAAAACGAGATGACGATTTAATAGTCACGCAAAATGTACAGTTCGAGTTTCGACAAGTGTTTCTGCTTCCTTATTACTTGCTGTGAGCACATTTAAGGTCGCTACTGAATCTGAAAGAGTAACAATGATAGTTCCACCCAGCCATAATTTGCAATCATAGTCCTTAAAAGATGAAAAGTTCTTCATTTCCCCTTGTCTTGAATAAACAAACTCGACCGCGATTTCTGCATCGGCAAATTGTATCACTTGTTTGCCCCCTGATGGACCAACCACGTGACATCGTGTAAAGATGGCGGGTATTGTGAATAAGGAGACGTCTATTGCACAGCTTCTGACCACTTCAGTAAAAACGATCTACACACCGGTATTTAACTCATATACTCACAGATTAAATCTCATTACATTGAGAGGGAAGGTTTCGGGCAGACCAAGTTTCTTTGCTGTCGATTTTCTTAGTTCTTCATCCATGTATCCTAAGAAAAAAGCGGATGGAAATAATTAACAAATTGACAAGCCTACGACTGTCCACTCTTCGTAGAAGTGACATAACAAAATTTTCAAGACGCAAGTAAAAATGAATGAATAAATACATAAGTCGGGAATTAAATGACACTGGTGACATTTCTACATAAAAGTTGTGGGGAAGAAGTTGTTGTGCGATGAGTAATCCACGAACATGTGGTAGGAAACAATGATTATACCGCTGTCAGACTCTACCTATTGTAGGCTCGATCACCAGCCGCTGATCGGGAAACGAGCCCGCGCACCTAGGGAGACCGGACCCTAGAAAACGGTGGAAATCGAGCCTAGTCTCTACCTTTTCCTGCTGAATGTACGAAAAAGTCTTACCTTGGTTTAACGCCTCCAAGCAGTAAGCTAACGAGGGAAGAGCGGCCGGAAGAAGTTCGCATAATGTAGCATAGTGATCAAATCTGGTTTAATAAAGGCAAAGAATATTACTATTCATTAGAGCAAATACGGCAGACATGGTAATAGGAAAGTAACTCTCATACGACCAAACTAAGCAGGGACGGAAAGGGAGACGCCCAGTCTAGCCCTCGACACATGTGAATTTCACCAAAGTTATTATTAGACCAATTAAACGCATGAAATCAATCGGAAGAATGCTTCCGGAGAGGTCCGAAAACTTAATATTCAGTGTTATCAAGGGAGAATTAAGCAGTCATCATTAAAACATTCTCCATTGTTTGCTTTGAGGCAGTCGCGCGTGGACTTGACAATGTTTCAAACAATCAATTCAAATGTGCGGACGCGATGTGTCGACTTCCGTTTATACAATTAAGAGAGCTTAAGCTTCCTTTTAATTAAAATTTCAGCCTCTAACAGGGTTTGTACTCTTTTGAGCTCTTAAAATTCCATGACTTTCCATGACCTTTGTAAGTTTTCCAAGACCTTAAGTTTAGCTGTCACTTAAATTGTTTTGTGTTAGGGTATTTTTGGGCCTTAGACAGTTCAACAGAGAAACTCTGGTGTCCACCAAAATGCGTGCGTCCGCGCTGCTCAATCACGTCTCTCTTTATCTTACGTTGTCCTTTCTTTGTCATCGGCAGTAACTAATCTATCAAACAAAACTTTAATTTTACATGACTTTCAAGGACAGACAATTAAATTCCATGAATTTCTAGGCCTGGAAAATGAAATGCTTAAATTCCACGACTTTCCAGGTTTTCCATGACCTGTACGAACCCTGCTCTAAACATAACTTTAGTGAAATTCACATATCCCAGCCAAAGCCCTAAGATTCCATCTCTGTCTTGTTATTTTCTCTTGATACAATGAATGGAAATTTCATTGCAATAGGTTCTATCTGTTACCTGCTCCAGCCTGTCAGCGCGATTCCATTCACCTTCAGAGTGGAAGGTAGCTCGTCTATGATCTTTAGCCAGTTCAGATTGTTCTGCACGTGGAAACCAATAGGAACAAAATTACTCCAGGGGTGTGTTGCTCCTATACAGAGAAATCAAGTTTAAGTTAAAGCGTTTTCAGTTCGTGTTGAGTGTAGAAAAGGTTGGTTTACACGTTCGAAGCAAACAAAAGCACAGGCAACATATTGTGCAGACCCAGTCCAGTAACTTGCTCCTAACGTGTATGGATTTTTTTTGTTTTATCTCTCCGTTACTTTTCTAATGATCCAACTCTAATAAAAAAGATATTTGTAAATGTAACTGGCCGAACCGACGTCTGTAACTTCTTTATGTAACTATAACGGCAGTGAGATTTTTGGCGATTAACATGTCTAAAAGAAAATCAAAATCGAAACCAAAAAAAGCTATTTGCACTATCGATATTCTACAACAGTTACTCCCTTTTTAAAAACGCCCACAACTAACATATATACACTAATCTTGTACCTTTAAATGCACTTGCCGCCCAAACTTTCTTGAATGCTTCTCCATATCTTTGCCACATACCTTTTAAAATAGGATTATATACTGTACCAACTCGTGCATGAGTCACACATTCAACTATAAAGCTTAGTTTGAGAAAGTAAAGGCGACCACATCAGGCCGAAGCGCACGAGAAATTTCAGGTGCTAATAAGACAACCGGGGCTTTCCATGAGAAAGGAGGAGGCCCGCGCGAGACCTCATGCGTGTTCTACTCTCTCGCGCGCGTTGCTTATCTTGCACTCAATATTTGTCACGCGCCTGTCAAGCAGAATATGTCAATAAAAGGAAGGAGGTCTTTGCTTTCAGGTTAATAATTGTTGGGTCAAAATTCCCCACCAGAAGGATCCCTACTATTCCGTTTAAAGTATCCTTTTCTATTTCGTCTAGAGTACAAGCAAAAAAGAACAACCCAGAGAGGGAACTGGCTTAAGATTAGTGACTTTAACATCTTTAACATTGGGCGCAAATAAGACAACCGGGGCTTTCCATGAGAAAGGAGGAGGCCCGCGCGAGACCCCATGCGTGTTCTACTCTCTCGCGCGCGTTGCTTATCTTGCACTCAATATTTGTCACGCGCCTGTCAAGCAGAATATGTCAATAAAAGGAAGGAGGTCTTTGCTTTCAGGTTAATAATTGTTGGGTCAAAATTCCCCACCAGAAGGATCCCTACTATTCCGTTTAAAGTATCCTTTTCTATTTCGTCTAGAGTACAAGCAAAAAAGAACAACCCAGAGAGGGAACTGGCTTAAGATTAGTGACTTTAACATCTTTAACATTGGGCGCAAATAAGACAACCGGGGCTTTCCATGAGAAAGGAGGAGGCCCGCGCGAGACCCCATGCGTGTTCTACTCTCTCGCGCGCGTTGCTTATCTTGCACTCAATATTTGTCACGCGCCTGTCAAGCAGAATATGTCAATAAAAGGAAGGAGGTCTTTGCTTTCAGGTTAATAATTGTTGGGTCAAAATTCCCCACCAGCAGGGTCCCTACTATTCCGTTTAAAGTATCCTTTTCTATTTCGTCTAGAGTACAAGCAAAAAAGAACAACCCGGAGAGGGAACTGGCTTAAGATTAGTGACTTTAACATCTAACGACGCGACGGCAACGAGAACGTCGCCTAAAAAGTGAACTTGCGTTCTTTCAATAGTTATCGCAATTATTCCTACCCACTTACTTTGTCAAATGTAGGCGAACTCTCTTTAACTTGAAGTCCTAGGGACCATGTCCAAGTTCAGACAGAGAAATAAAATTTCGTCGTTGCTTGTTAACATACTCCATAAAACGCGAAATTAGGCATTTTCGCGTCGTGGTCATGCAAAAACGGGCAAAGAAATGTACAAACAAGCGTGATGCACGTGCAAAGTTGTTGTTTTGTTTTAATACAAAACCTGTTGGTTTTTTACGTTCTCGTTGCCGTCTGGGTGGTTGGATCTTAAAGTCCATATTAACTAAATAGACAGCAAACATGCAAAAGGATCACCACGAGAAAGTACGGTTTACCTGGAGGAAAGTATCCAGTAAGATCTGATGTGTAAGCCCAAACCATGGGTTCCACCAGAGAACCAAGTTCTATGATTCAATACAAAATTAGCAGAGAGCATTAAATTGAGCGCGGTGTTGGGGTTTGTGGGATTGGATCATAATCATCGCTAGTCTATGTTAATACCAACACTTTCTATGGCCCCTTCAGTGTCTGCATTAACGAGGTTCGATTGTACGTCATTTGGTGATAGTATTTATCTGCAACAGTTACACCAAGAAACTACTGATTTATAGGGCAGGTATGGGATATCAGAAACTGTAGTAGAAGCACAATGGTAACCTATGCTTAGAAGCATACCTTTCAAGTATTCAACAGGCGACCATCTCATCATGTCATCCCACATTATTGGGGTGATCTCCTTAGATTGCAAATGCTTCAGAATTGGGGTCATGTGATGCACGAAAAGCTGAGATTTGTTACGTTCATCTTTTATGCAAACTGGGCAGGTCTTTAGGTTCCACACCTGAAACAGAATTATTATATTGACTAGATTAAGTAACGGTCCAGATAAGAAGGAAACCAACAAAGGCTATGAAAATGTTGGAATGAAAAATGTGCTAACTTTACTATTGTCTGTACTTTACTTCTGATTGGCAGATTTCGCTCATTTAAACAATATATTGTTTAGAGCAAAATCTGCCATCCCTTAAATTAATGCCTTATATCTTTTTATAAAAGCGTTCTTTTAGAATTCGGTTCTATACATGACACTCACAGTCTACCAAGTTTACCTCTTTCAGTTCCAGCTCATGAAGTTTTGTATCTGCGCTGAATTCTTGGACCCAAAATTGTCGGAAAAGTCAAATTATATTCTATTTATATTTTTTAAATTACATTTTGCTGGCAAACTTTAAATATTGTAAAATCTGCTCTCTACATGACACACTATAGGTTTTTTGACCGATCATTTATTAATAAAATCACAGATTGCTGTCTTCTATGCTTTCTGCAAACTTGGACACAAAATCACGATTTCCCAATTTGGTACAACTTTGGCCTAAAGCATCACCATAAAGCATGATCTACCAAATAAAAAACAGTTCCCTCCTATTTAAAACTTCCATCATTCCACAATGTCTCTGTAAAATTTTTATCTAAATAACCTCTAAAACAGCCAAGATATAGCTGTATAAAACGGTGTTGCAGAAGCAAAGTTTTGCCTTATGAATTCTTTCATAGATAGGTGGCCCCTGCAGCATTAAGATTGATGGCATAGGGGTGAAAAATAGAAAAAAAAGGGGGGGGGATAAGGACATGCTTCAAAATAAAGATGAGCATGCTATAAACATGTATTTATATCGGTATTATGAAACGCTATATGAATTCAATGACAGTACTTCATCTCCACCAATGTGAAACCACTTAATATCAGAATGAAGAGCTAGAACTTGATCAATGAGTTCCAGTACCATAGGAACAGACTCTAAAAAAGTGAAACCCATGCAAATATTAGTAAAATGCAGTGAGACTTCTTAGTAACACATGAAGAATTTTAAGAGTCACCACCTAAGCATTTTTTGCAAAGGTAAAGATAAGTTAATTAAGGTAGGCTAAAATAAAAGATAACCAGTAGGAATAAATTTGGCCACAACAAACACAGGCTCACCCTTATTGCTCGGGCACACTGAATTGGTATAGTGCTCTGTTTCACGAAGATGTGAAAACTCCTTGTGCTTTAGGACAAACTAATAATAGATAAAAAACAAAATGCTCAAAATATATGAAAAACTATTAATAATAGGACAATTAGACGATCACGTCATTATCCATGTACTACAACTACCAGGACACTTCTGTTTGTTGTTTTATTGTGTTAATTAAGGCTACTGTTTCATTAAACCTTGGTGGGATTGACAAATTTTAATCTTTAATCTTTTATCTTTAATCTTTTAATCTTTAATCTTGAAAATGGCCTATCAACATCAGCCTGTTCACAGACCCTCTGTTTTCTCTTCAAAGTCCATTGTGTGCAGGTGATAAACTATAAACTGCGCGGGATTTATTGACTGCCAGCACAAGGGGGTAGTAGTGGGCGCGCGCGCTTTGCTCTTGAGCTCGCCGATGTTTTTGAAATGAACAAAAAGAAAAATAAAACAACGTCTGTATACAGGCTAATTAACGTCATACACCGTAAATCCTCTATTAAGCCCCCCTCTCTACCAGGAGAGGAAGGGTTTGTCTAGACTTTGACGACAACTGAGGACATCACATTACCTCCAGATGGCCAAATGTCTGTACAAGTGGAATAACAATCAGTTCATTTGCATGGGCTGCTTCCAGAAAGCGCTTGATGTCATCCTCACTGGAATTAATTTCAGTAAAAAGTTAAATTAAATGGATCAGCTTAAAAATATTTATGGATTTAACAGCTTCTGTTCAAGTTGGCTGGAGATTGTTTCAGTTTGTGTTCAAGCAGTTACTGGAGATACACTGAAATAGTAAAGCCAAATTTTCTTGACGTAAAATGATTATGAATAATTAATAGTTATTTATTATTTGCTGCCCTAAAAACCCATTTGAAAAAAGAAAAGATTTCTTACATCTGTTGCAGTGGTGCAACATACAGTTGGCTCATTTTTTGTTTGCTATGATGTCACATAATTGTGAAGAAAAATAATACCTCCTAATTTTTAAGAAAAAGGTTGTTTCTATTACTTCTGGTATATAGATGCATCAGGACTAGTGGCATGGACGATCTACAACACTTGGGTAGAGATGCATTATGTACACAACCCCATTCTTTGCCCTCTCTCTAACCTCTCGTCATATAAATCACTGTCAGATCATAAACCCTTACAATTTGGACAACCACTTTGAGCAACCTCCATGAGTCTAGTGTGTAAGCGATGCTTATATTACTTACCTGTATGAATTCTTTGACTGCAGTACCTCATACTTTGCCTTATAGGGAAACACATCTTCATATTCCACCAGTAAACCTGAAGCTCCCCATTTTGCAAAGAGTGGAAGGATCTATGTTATGATTGGCCAAAAATGGTATAAGTTGTGTGAATGCGACTGAAAATACTAATCGGGCTGGTCAGCATTGTAATCAATAACAGACATTCTTAAAAGAAGTTTTTAAATCAAGTTGGTTAAAAACAACTTTCCCTTAAAAGTGTACAGTATGGATAACCATGTTTGTCAGTAACCACAGACCTGCAGTACAGTGTACCACTTGAAACTATACACATTACATCTAATAAGAACGAGTCTGAGTGGATAGTTTGGGTGCACTTGTTCCTAAAAAGTGAAAACATTCCATCACTGAACTCCACTACTTGCATGAAAATCTCAAATTAATACAAATCAATATTAATTATCTGATTGCACAACAATCACTTTGAGGTGGGCCAAGGCTCTTTAAGAGACCTTTATTTCTGTCTTAGAGACCTTTATTTACAGTTCCTAGACTATGAGGAAAACAGTTCAACTCTTTGATTGGAGAGAAACACCCAAAAATATGACAACAGGATTTGTGCCGATGATCCACTATAAATGATCCTTGTTTGAAAACCTCAAGTGATGCCGTCCGATAATAATAACGATTACCGAAAAATGACTGTTCAATCAAGTAGCATGGAAAAAATTATAGTTGACAAAACTGCGTGGTGTTTGTCTTTTTAATAGACTCACAATGCAGCTATTATCCCTAGATGACCCTTTTTTGATACATAGCCTGCGTAGCATGGCAGTTTTTCGGTTGGGCGCGCAAAGTAATAAAGGTGGGTGAAAGCAGAGAAACCACAGGGAGATTGGAGCTTCGCTGCACAGTAGTGTGTTTGACAAAACTGCCATGTTACGCAGGCTATTTGATACATTTTGTATGTTTTTGTAGTGTTCTACAACACAGTGCAACAGCCGTGTTTCTCAATCAGTAGAAATGGTCCACAGTGAAAAAACTCAAACCTTCATAAAAATTATTACTTTGGCTTGCATACAGGTGAAAAATAGATGGAACTCATTTAAAGAAATGTTTTTCTGATTGTAATTGATCATCGATAGGTTGGGTCAAGCCAATTATTATTGATGATCAATTGCATTATCCCAGCTGATTCCCAACACTAACAAGGATACAAGCTGTATAATTGTTTTGAAGGTCAAAATTAAATTCAGGATAAAGAAAATTCTTCAACCCAGGTCGAATTCCCTTTGTTTACTAAATCTAATTATTCAAGCTCACAGATAAGTTACAGTAGGTTAGGAGACAAAGGAAACTGAGAATCAAAATCAAAGGATAAAATATTGAACCAGAAGTTAATTTTGACCTACAAAAGATACAATCTAAATCATCTACCTGTAAATAACTTTCTGGTGCCCAACACATGTACACTTGAGTGAAATGTAATTTACATTCACAAACTAGTTAATAATTTATAAAGAAAAAGCAAAAGAAATAAATGTTTAATGTGTGCCTTTATACAATGTATCTGATAAAGACACGGCTAAACTTTACGTCCAATTTTTTAGACCAAAATAACCCCAAACCTAAATGAGTTGATCTATATCACAGGTTTTGAAGCTGTTCAAAAAACGCGTAGTCATGTATTACCAGGTTTAAACTCTCAGCTTCGCCTTGGGGTTTTACACCTGATAATACCCTCCTGTTCATTCTTTAAACGGTATTTAAAACCATAATTCTACAAAAGTTAAATTATACCTTTATAAGATAATCTATCTTTGGTGGAGCTCCTTTTAGATCCAAATGAACTAGCTTGTGACCAGTGAATCTTAAAACACATGACAAAATATTGCATTATAAACAAAGTTAAGACTTACTAGCTAAAATAATACCTGCCAACAGTCACAAATAACTTGAACAAATGTTACAAGTGTATAATAAATTTAATTATCAGCTTATTGCTTGATATAAAAATGGATAAATAGGAATGAGTACAAGGAAAAAGTTATAGATTTGTTTCAAAATCAACCTGGAAGAATACAAATTTTATCTGACAGGGTCCACAGTGAATATACACCCCCCTGACAGGTTTGTTTTGAAAATAATAATTATTTCATTGTCTTGACAATCTTATGTGAGCATAAAGTGGTTATTTGCAATTCTACTAATATGAGGATTCTGTATATTACTGTGAAACTATTGTGATATTCAAAATAGCTTCAATAATTAGTCACCTACAGTGTATATGCATGGAGAAAAAGGTTGGTACTAGTGCATAGGAAAAAGATACTATCTAGAAACATGCCTATTCAGTCAATTACAGCTATTAAGCTCTCACTTTTTATTGCTAGGATCCATTTTGTCCTCCTTGACTTCAGTTCTCTTGTCCAGCTGAGTTCTGGCTTTTAACAGTTCCTCTCTCAAAGAAGCAATGGTCTCTTGATCCTCCTTGAGTCGTGCCTCAACCAATTTATCTGAAACTGCTTTGATTCTGTCTATTGATGCTTTTGCTTTTCAAAGGAACAAAATAGATGTGAATTTGATGTGACTTGTGTTAAAAGGACCACATCTTAGGCAGACATCAGTTGTAAGTAAGTTAACATGACCCTTACTGACGAAATTATTTTGCCGTACACAATAAAATAAGGTATTGGGAATTAACCTAACTTAAATTAATGCAAATTAAATGGAAATGACTTTCAAATAAAGGAAATTAACACAAAATAGAGGGAATCCTCTCAAAATGAAGGAAATTAATGCGACATTCACAAAGAAATAAACATGTTGGTACAACAGGAGCAAAGTTAAATGTATAATCTTATTTGGAAACTTTATTATTTTGTGCTACTTTCCCTAAACATCAAGTAAAGAAATCCTGGCCACTTCAAGGAGTTGTTCACAGTTTCAGTGACACCAGTGGATCTCCACCCTGATAAAATACTTGTATGTGTTTCAGGTCAAATTTGATTTCAGATTAAAATATTGTTTAACCTAGGTTGATTCTCAATTTCCTTTGTCTCCTTAAGCCCTTATTATTCATGAATTAGGGTTAGGAAACAAAGGAAATTGAGAATCAACCTAGGTTAAACAATTTTAACCTGAGATCAAATTTGACCTGTAATGTACGTACTCTTCTTTCTTTTAGGTGTCATGAATGTCAAAAGTGTATCACAGATTTGGGCCAAAAAAATTGAAATTAACACACCGCTTAATCAATGGTCCGGACATTAAAATTGTAGACTTCTGCATGATGTACTGGGTCCTACATATAAACCATTTCCTTCTAGCATAAAGGGGCTACTGTATGCCACAAAGCCATCAAGTATACTTGGTACTTGGTGCCTAACCATACAAGGCCTAAACTGAGCTAGCCTGCAAGTAAGCTCTCTGGGGCACTCTGGCAGTGGAGCGGGAAAAGGAAGGAGAGCTTGCAACTATGTCTCTGGAATTTGCATATCTGCATTCATACACTTATTCTGCACAATGTCTATTTGTGTGAAACAGTATAACATAAATTGCTGCATGCATAATAAATCTATGGAGTTGTGCGGAAATCTTTCCAGTGAGCTTATCTCATTTATTACAGTGCAAGCTATTGGGAGAATGTTTTTGGTAATAATTATGGGCAGTGCTGTTAACTCTCCTGGGTAATCTGGGAAATTCCAGATTTGGACCATATTTCCTGGTCTCCAGATCAGCTGAGTATGAAATCTCCAGGATAATCGCCAAAGTTAACCATTTGTTCAGCAGACTTGAATTTCCGACAAAAAATTCTCAACTATGTTGCGTTGTTTCAGCTATTTTAATGTTAACATCGAACATTTCCTCATTAACTCTGCTATGCCATCGTAATATAAAAATATGATTGGTGGAAAGTAAACCAATCAGGTCAAATGTTACAATACCAACATCTTTATTACGTGTTTTGTGTCATCGTAAATTTTTGATGATCAGAGGCAAAGAGTATTTTTTAGCACAAATGACGTCAAGTGCCATGTGTTATGTCATCTATCATCCCTTCCCTATTAAAGATGTGGGGGGTTGACAGCCCTGAATGGGAGTATATATTTATACCTGCCAACTTTTTAAAAGTTAAATGTGTGTTGTCATGACCGGTATTTGCGGAAACATCCTGCGACTTTCAAAGATTTCTCACGACTTTCCAAAGACTTCCGAACGTTGCTGAAAATATACGCAGATGTTCCGAAGACGGTTTGACAGGGTGCAAAGAAAGTCACTTTTACAGCCTGCCATTTGGGCAAGCTGAAGCTAACAGTAGCCCAAACATCATTTCAACTAGTCCCAGAAACGTTTTGATGAGCAGATTGATTTCACAGTTCATCTGTAATTTGGATTCCTCAAAAAACTTCACTTGCCCGTTGGGCAAGTTAATAACAGAATTCACTAGCCCAATAGCAAAATCCACTAGCCCCGGGCTATCGGACACTACTTTCTTTGCACGCTGGTTTGAGCACTTCTAAAGCTACTTAAAGAACATTTGTGTGAAAGAACAATATGTCCCTATTTGTGAGTCAGGCGTGAGATTGATGTCTTTAGTCTACAGGCATGAGATTCATGCATAATGCGGGAGAGTTGGCAGGTATATATATCCCATGCATTTTACTGTACACAGGAGGAATATAAGACATTAATTGGTAATCCCTGGTTGTCTAGGGTGTGTAATTTTTTACATAGACGTACTGTTCCAATACTTTGTTTAGGTTTAGTATTTAATGTGTTGAATTTAAGCCTTATACAAATACAGGCATTATTGCCCATGCATGAGATCAGATAGGCTGCGATATTAGCCAAGTTCTTTTTCTTTAATACTATGGATCTGAAACGAAGTTGACGTCTACGTACAAAAACAAACAAAGAATGGTGAACCATGCATGTGAAAAAGTTGTGCGTACCTGAAGTTTGAGGTACTGACTCTGTGTCAGCCGTCACCAGTTGACTTCGCTGGACTAGCCTGAAGAACACATAGCTCACCACTAATAGAGCGACAACTACAGAAACATTGGTGTAGTTAATTCGCATTATCTTCATAAAAACAAGGCAATTTCCGCCACCCGCTCAGCTTCGCTCAGCCACCTTCGCTTAAGGCTGAGTGCTTGACTCGGTCCTAGTACTCCTCAGTTTTGGTAGGTTAGCACGTCATGTAAGGTCAAATAAAACTTGCGTATTTGACTTCCTGACCGTTTGGTGCGCATGCGACATTGTAGAAGATAAAAATGCAAGGAACACTTTGTTTAGTCTGCTACACAGCCGTTTTTAGAGTCGTCACGCAACGCTCCTGGAGCGTTGCGTGACGACACTAAAAACGGCTGTGTAGCAGACTACACTTTGTTCTACCATGGACAATAAAAAGCGGTCTTTGTACTATCCATGGTTCTACCATTCCTCTCGTCAACCACGGCGTTGACTCGAATATGGTTAACTCGAGACTGACATCCTCGAATTTCTTGTATGTTTTAAACAAGTCACCCGGGCATGATCTTTTTCAAAAACTGATGTAACAAAAACTAACACTTCCAAATTCCATTAGACCTTTTTTTATTGCTTGTTTATTTTGTTTCCCTGTTGCAAACAATGGCTACCCCAAAGAACTTTAATGCGCTATCCACGTGTTCGCGTGCATAACCATCTAATAAAAAGACAAAAGGCCAATTCCATTGGGGACATCAAGAGGTCTGAATTGAGAAAATAACCTTCAAGCTAAAAAGGTCTGTTCAAACGAGTTCTTGAGAACTCCTAAGTGCTTCTTGGGTAAAGAAATACAATTTGCATTTTTCTTTACTTTTTAATCAGTCGTTTATACTTTTTCTTTTATTGAAAATCTACAAAATCTAGTTCAGCAAAAGAGTTACCCCAATCTTCTGTTTCAAAGCGAGGCTAAGTGTAAAGCCATTGACATGAATATTAATTTATTCTCATGCAATAAAACTCATTTTCAAAAGAAAGGTATTGCGCTTAGCCTGGTTTTGAAAGTAACGGTTTTTGGACATGGAAGTGGACTATTAGTTTTACTATTTTTAACTTAAATTCCCACTTTACCCATCTTTTAACAACTAATGTCGGATCACTCAGTCTTCGCACAGATTTTTTTTGATTTAGCTATACACTCGTTAACTTCCAAGTTTAGTTTAGTAACTGCGACCAATCGCCGTAATGGGTTCTATGCGACTGCAGCCTCGTTTAAGGTCTCTCTTTTGAGTCAGTAAAATTAATTTGGTCCTTTTTTCTCAGTTTTATATTCGTCTTGAAATAGCGGTCCCACGCGAATCGAAACGGATAACTGTAACGTTCCGACTTTTCCAAGTAAAATGTGATTAAAATCACATTTTACTTTTACTAAGATCACATTCACGCACATTGCATGAATGTGATAATATTGAGCCTAAGAGAAAAGGTTGATTTTTCGGCAAGACTGCCTTCAGCTCGGTAAGAAATGGAATAAATAAACTATCAGGTACCGTAGTGTGATTATCTCTCAGACGACAAGGAAATTCATAACATTTGTCGCATTTGTTTCATTTGGCACCTCAATAACGAAAAAAAACTGATGTTTGAATTACTACTTTTACTACTACTGTTTTTTTTTTCATACGCAAAGAATAACTGACCTGCCATCTTTTACAAAGGCATTCTAACTTAATCTTCCACACGCCACCTGCGATCTTGTATGGTACTAAGGCCGGATAGCTTTTGCGCCGGCACAAAAACCATAACGGTCAGGACTTCTGCAGGGGCACCCAACGACAATTTTGGGAAAATATCTGTTCGGAAGACGATTTGAGATCTAGAATTTTCGGAACATTTGTTGTAAAATTTGTTGCTTGCCTGCCTCTCCTAGGATTTTCGAACATGTAAAAACCACTATAATTGCCCATTTTTAACGGATTTTCTACCTTTAAAAGGTCCCCTAGAAATTTCGGGAGCCTTTTTTTTGGCTGAAATTTTCGAAAAAGGTAAGTTTTGATCCCTATAATTCTTGCATCACTAGACTTTCAGCTAGGAAATCCGAACAGATGAAAAATATTTAGGGGATAAAAACATGCCTATTTCTACCGTTTAAATACTAAAATACGTTTAACAATGCTATGTTTAAGTGGTTTTCAACTATATTCTCGTTGGGTGCCCCTGCTTCTGTTCGCACATAACAACGGTGATTTCGGCGCGATCTCTGTAACCGGGCAAAGCTGCGCAGCGTCGATCTCTAAAGTGGAGAGTCACATACCGGATAGGTATTCATGCTATACTGGATAGCTTTACGTGTCGGTATGAGAAGATATCCGCTATAGTACGAACATAGTCTTATTGAGGCAGTTCATTCTGAAAACGTTCAATGTCAAGGATCATTATAAATAAGCTTATACAGGCTCTGGTTATCAAATTAAGCGTTGACAGGCGCTGGCCAACGCCGAATGAGTCCAATAGACTGGAATCTGATTGATATAAAGATAGATAAAACAACGCTTGAAAACTTAACTCCACGCGTACGCTTTTAGGTCACTGACACAAGTACAGATGATCGCATATAACATGTTGTTAGGAGAACTTGTAGTTTTTTTTTCTGAATTCAACAAAGAATCTTACCACTCTAACTATTTCATATAAAATAAATGGACAAAATCTGCCTGCCGGTTTTAGCGGATTGAATATAACTGTAAACTTATACATATCCAATAATTGCCACTCCGTTAAGCATCTGTATTTGGAAATATCTTATTAAAAGCAAATAAATCTTAATAATTTCTAGCAGTGCGTCTTCTCTCTATGCAAACAAGGGTTCGGCGAACTTTTACTTCGAGATTAAAAACAAACTGTTGACTCAACTTATAATAGATCCAATTCAAAGGAACAGATTCATTGCTACTTTTAATATTGTCTTGTTTTTTTATTCAGTTTAATCGATTTTAAACGTCTAAATGAACAACTGAAAGTGTCATTAAAAACAGGTAGGGCCCTTACGAATGTAAATAATATGGCTTTAAAAACAACGAGCGATATATGAAGGGACCACTTGCCATTTGGCTAGCAGGAAAGAGGCACCTCTTTGCCTCGAAGAATTAAAACGGTGAGTTCTAAACATTGCGTCCATTTTACACAAAAATATGTAGTAATATGTAGTACCCTCCTTTAGAATATTATATCTAATTTTCTCTGTATGAAAGGTTATAGTGCTCATTCAGGATTCCTTCAGTTGTTCTAAATTGCTATCGTAACGGTCAGAAATTTTCGCGCACGTGGCGCCAACAGTAAAAAGGTGTGTGAATTATGAAAATGATTGAATTTTTTCATTCTTTGAGAGTTGGCTTATTTGAACTCAAAACAAGGTATTTATGGGCTCAAAGACGGAAAATTAGAAATTTGCCAAAGATTTCATCAATTTCGCAATTCTTTTGACAACTTTTAGAAGTGTTGTTGCATTTTACTGAACAATAGTTATAGATCAATTAATTCTAATATTCTCAAAACTGAGAAAGATTCGATCAAAGCAGAACTCTTAAAAGGAAAGTACAACTTCTTATATTATTACGTGAGAAAACTGCAAATGACTGAAAAAAGGTTCAAAAATCTTAAGAGAAAAATTTGTTATTTTTTAAAAAGTTTTTTTTCCTGGTTTGTCAGTTACAGCATATTTTACGAGTCAAACTACCGTAAAAATTGTTAGGTACTATAGAAAGCTCCGCAGAGCCTGTGAGCTCCGGACTACTTTTAATTCAAGTTGAAGATAAAATATTTGAAGAAATTTACGCAAACAACAAAACAGTGGGGAAAAAATTGAGATACTGAATGTTTTCCGAAGAAATGAAATCTTAATTTTCTTTATTTGATTGTCGGATTGCTTAAAGAGATTTGAGAATGGTTAAAGGGCAAACATAATAACTAAGACAAATCGTCAAAAATTGCTTCGAAAGTCAGGCTTTGTTAACAAACATGGAACTGATAAACATATTGGCGAAGAACTCTTAATTTCTACCATGACAAAGACAAAGAAGAAAAAAAACACGCTGGATATTGAACGGCTTAGCAAATCGTAGCTTATTAATGTTTTCAGTAGACAATCGTCACGTAGTAGGTAAAACAGTATCTTCATCTTTTCCTTTTAAAAGTCACCTTAAACTTGCTTTTTTGGTAGTTGATGCTAGAATACCTTTTCGTTTTCAAAATGATAATATAAGTTTACTAAGTTATGCATTCAGGTCATATTGAGCAGAAAAATGAGAAATTTATATTTTAGCTAACGAATATTCTATATATTTGCAGATAATTTAATTTTTCAGCCAGGATGTGGCTTTGCTTTCTTGTGGCTTCCTTTACTCTGCCCTTTGCCCACAGCCAAAAAGGTGAATAATTTTACGTAATACAACTACCTTAAGCCGTCCGACATGGTCGCGATGTTAGTACATAAGTTGCCCACTCACGCAAAGGGCCTTTAAATAAAAACTGTCCCTTATGTTGGGGAAGATACCCCAAGCTCAGCTGCTGACGTTTGATTGGTTAGATTGAAAGAAAACTTGGTCTCCTGTCCAATACGACAGTCTCTTTAAAACGTTTACTTTCCTGGGCTTGTAAGTGGACAGCTTCTAAATACAAGAGACAAAGTGGAAATAACCGAGACAAAAGAAATAGCACTAGTCAAGAAGGATTCCCCTATCCCTTGAACACACACTGAATTGATTAAGCAGGTTGAGGAAAAAGAAAATAATTTGCACTTAACATTCTCCACACACAGGAACACGTTGACTGAAACTTAGAGAGAAAAAAAACGCCAAGAGGTTGTTTAACAGAGCGATAAGAGGCGGCGATTTAAATGGTGGGCTAATTGGTTAGTCTTCAGTTGAGAACGTCGCGGCTGAGAAAAAAAGGGCTTTGTGTCAAAGGCTTTGTTTCCATACGTTTCTGGGAAACTGTCCAACTACCCCTCCCCTAAGCCAACATTAACACTTACTTCTCACTTAAGGCAAACTGTTGGCTTAGGGGAGGAGTAGGTGGGCAGTTTCCCACAACGTATAATGACCCGTTTCTCTTGAATGAATCCC